GCCAATATAGGAGGCCTTACAGTCTCCACACGTGTAAAGATAGACAAGCCAAGAACAATAAGGAATGGGGAGGAGATCTTTAGTAGGGAAGACATTTTTTATGCGTGATGTGGATTTAAAAACTAATCTTAACTCTCCAACTCTGAACAACATGTAGTCTTCATTTAAATTATACATTTTTTAATATGTTCGTATTACTGATTTTTCGTTTTTTTTTCTTTTTGTTGCATTTTCTTCCTGTAGTTTCTCCCCATGATTACTGTTTAGTGTTTTATTTGTTTAATTATCGTTATATTTAGCAACTGTACTTTGAAAATGTATAAAGACTGATGTAAATTCATTTTATTCTGCTTTAGATACTGAAGATGGAATCTGATAGAATTCCAAAACGTTTATCCATGTCCCCTTTTTGTCAATAAACAATGTTGTTTATCATAAGTGTCGTAATCTTGTTTATAATCAAACTTTGTTTTCCTTCGAACACATTGATTGCTAAAATTTAATTATAAATAGATGTATAATGTTACAAACTAAGAGCTACTTAGGATAAACGAATGTAGTTTCATGCTACAATTTGAATTCATTCTAGAAAGAAAAAAAAGGGTAATTTTATTTTGATTTTTTTTCTGGTGGTTATGAGATTGGTCAAATTGACTGATCATGTTTTGAGATAGGGTAGAGAAATTAACAGATAAACTATATAGTTTTACTGAAAAAAAAATGTTTGGAATGCATTTAGGAGGTTTCAGGGATTACACAAAGAAAATTTGAGATTTTTGAGATGAGGAAAAATATTTTTTAATTTTAACATGAAAATTACTTTGCACACGGACTATTCAAAACAAATTTTCAATATATTCATGGACAAATCTTTATTTTATTTAAAATACTTCACTAAAAATATGATTTTTTGTATTTGAAAGACTGCCAAATTTTGTGAAGATATACCCAATATATAGACAGTTATAAGTATTAAATTTATATCAACTTTAAACATATATAAGAATATCACATGGTCGGCCAGATTGACCGAGCCCATATTGAGAGAATTAACCTTATCATAATTCGTACAATTGTCTAGAGAATGGCATAAGCTTCTTGTGCTGTATCAGTTAAGACACTTTGTAATAATAATAATCATTTTTCGAGGGGGGGGGGCATTCCATGGTTTGGGCAACCTTCTCAGAATGTTGGAAATATTTATCAACTTAATTTTCATTAAATGGTGGCACTTTTTGTTGATCAGAGTTGAGTCTAATTTCCATTTCTTTCAGCTTAATTTCTTTTTCACCTTCAATGCACGCTTTTTCGGCCTTGAGACGTTTATTTTGTCTTTCAGCTTCGATAGGAGCTTGTTCTGTCTTGGCTTCATTATGAGCTTGTTCTTTCTCTTTTTCAACTTTGATACGAGCTTGTTCAAGTTTTAGCTGGATCTCTAAATTATCTTTAACACTTAACCCTGATTGGCTAGTGGGGTCACTAGAGTATTCCCCTAATTCTTCCTCAGGCAACAAATCATCATCGACTAGTATTTCGAAATTTTGCCTTTTTATAGTTAATTTTTTCTCCTTGATATTTTAACTTCTAGTTCTAAAACTTTGGCAATTTCGAGCAATTCATTTTTGTTATATTTTTCTAGTTGTTCAAGGGAGAGTGATTCAAGAAAATCTTGATAATCAGACATGATCAAATCTAGTTGGCACTGACAAATATAAATTAGATTAAATTTTGTCTCCGATTCAGATCTCGGTCATAAGCCCCCAATTTATTATGTTACATATTACAATTTCAAATAGCCTAAAACTGAATTAAATTGTAATTTAGATTTAATAGTTAAATAAATGTCGATATGTATCAAATTTGTGATATTTGCCAACAAGATTGATGCACACAGTTTCTTTGTTTTATACAAATGTTTTAATATACAAACAATAAAACAATTTACAATAACAGTTATTACAAACAGCTACTACAAACAATGACTTATATACAAAAGTTCCACAAATTTACAAGCAATATAGTCGTCTTTCTAGTCTGGAACTTCCTTGATATCTTATCGAGGGTTCACGATAAACAAATTAATTTCAAATTACAAATATAAAAATTAATCTAATTTCTAATAATATTCTAAAGTTATGTTATAAGGCTTATTTAAAAATGCATGATAAAGCACAGAATAAGCAAAAACCACAAGATGGTTACCACAAGAGTCCAAATAAATTGTTAGACAAAATAAAACTGATATTATGCAGAAAGCTGTACATAAACTTACAGCTTTTAAAAAAGAAAAAAAAACAACATTACGAACATGAAATTAAAAAAAAGACCGATTAAATAATAAATAAACATAAGAAAATACATAACATTGTACTACATTAACCACTTAAATACCAAACAGTAGAAATAAAAATATTTCTCTGCACACAATATGGAAGCTTTTCTCACATAAGACATCAAACATTTAAAATTCTACAATATTTACCTCAGCTGCAGTAGCAGATCTTTGATAGCTGTCTGCTGCAAAAATATCTTGTTCTTTTCTACCAATACTGTACTTTGCTGCTGTCTTATCTGCACATGAACCCTGCAAACAGTTTAACTATTGTGTATATCCTAACACGAATTAAGTTCTTATCAAAGCAAGCCAGATTATAACTAAGAAATTAGCTTAATAATGAACATGGCTAATTTACTTGTGTCAGAAAAAAAAAATGTAGGTTCAAGTAGTCTTAATATTAAATTATAAAAACCCTATAACCCAAGCTCTTTCAAAAGGTAGACCTTTCTTCTTTAGGGGTAAACTGGTAATGGTGGTGTAATTGAATGAGTTATATATAAATGGAGTTGAGTGACATCATGAAGAACAAATGTCACAGAAAACAAACCAATGATCAGAGATCACCAATTCCAGGATCTAGATTTATTCCACTAGGTTGAACAGTATTTAGATTAGCAATCCAATAAGCTTCTTTTACCTTTCTATCAGCTTTAGTTTTAAAGTTGGTTTCAATGACAATTGGAGTAACATCATTAATAAAATGACCAGGTTAGTTGAAGTGTTGAGCAAAAAGGTCTTTTTTGGTGTAAATAGAAGACTTATGGTTGTTGAAACGTTTGCATTTTTTTTTACACTGTATAAGATAAATGGTATTTGGTGTTGTGCAAGTAATTTCTTTAGAAATTTTAAAGTTTCTCTGGTTGTGCTTGTCAAAAAAAGTCTGTTTTTTTATGAATTTGCAGGTTTAACAATGAGCTTTATTACATGGATGACAACCATTCTTTGATAGGTGTAATTCACTTTTTCATGCAAAAACAATTTTTATTTATATATCTATTTTTATATGTAATGTTGACTCTCAATGCTTACTATTTACTTGTGATAATTTTCCATGGCTGTCTTCAGAAATTAATCTGCTTAACATTATTTTTCTCCATATGTTACCTTTATTTTACTTTAACAACACTTAAGTATAGTTTTTCTTGACCATTTGTAAAGTAAAACATCTCTAACACCTTTTTACATAATGCTCTCGTTTCCAGCCATGTTGCACTGGAAATGAGACACAGTTAAAAACAGAACATTGAGAAATATACAAGAACACTTATTGGAAGCCCAGGTGACTTCATGACATCACTCAACTCCTTTTATATATCACTCATTCAGTTACAACACCATTCCCAGTTTACTCCTGAAGAAGAAAGGTCCACCTCTTGAAATCATTTGGATTATAGGGTTTTTAATCATTTCATAGCTAATTTAATATACTATGCACTTGTGCCAATGAATACTAAAAATAAAAAATAATACAATATTAGGTAGTTGCACAATAAATAAGATTTATTAAAAAGAGAGAACAACCCTAAAAAGAGACTAAATGTTTTGGTGGCATAGAATGCCACCAAAATCATGTATTTTTCCAAAACATTTATTCTCTCTTTTTAGGGCTGTGCTCTCTTTTTAATATTAATCTTATTTACTGTGCAATTATTTAATGTTATATTGTTTTTAATATACTGTTCTTACATTGTTATTTACAATGATAAGAATGCATTGTTTTATTAGTTGGGTTCTCTTGTGTTTGGTAATATATTTGGCTATAATGCCAATATACAACAGAAAACAGACAAAGCTGTTAAAAAACATGAGATTAAAATTGACAAAATAAAAGTTATTAAAAATCAATGATTTTCTTCATTATTATAAATTCATAGTATCTGCTTCGTGAATAATATATCAAAAATTAGAACATTAAACCATATTACTCACAAAAAAGGTTAAAAATTAATACATAAGAATATGTTACTAATTTTGTTCAGAAGTGTTATAAGGATGTGAAATTTTCTTTGTTACTTACCATTAACAAAGAACTGTAAGCATCTGTTAGCCCATCATACTGACATCCATCCTAAGTTACAAAAATGCAAAATTTTTGCAAATTTATTGAGATAATTAATTTCATATGTTCAAATAAATAATCAATAACTCAAACAAAAAAAGGGCTATTAAAACAATATACAAAAAATGTAGTCAATCTAAATCAGATGTGCCAAGTTGTTCTTTGATAATGCTGACTGACTTTTACAAGTAACAATTTTTTTTTAGTTTCAAGCTATACAGCCATCACTGCATAAAAAAAAAAGAAAACAAACTTACAATCAAAGAAATAGTTCCAAAAGGTGTCTCTCCACGTGGAAGATAGTAAGGTACATTCGACATGCTTTCCATTCCTCCTGCCACCATAATATCCTGAACAAACAACTATAACTTCAGTATCATCCCACTGAAGTTTGTAAGTTATCAAACCATTATCTTTTTTAAGCGTTACTGTTACACTTCCTTTTTTTCTGTAAAGCCCAGTTTAAGATATGCTAGCTTCATTTTAAATGTAACAAAGCATTTGGTAAAAGGAAAGCATAGGATATTTAATAATACAAAATGTCATGAAACTACATTAACTTTACAAACAACGCTTAAACTAATAATA